ATTTAAACATACGAAAAAATTTGGACATAAGCACTGACCTTTTTTTTTCTGTTTCATAATTTTCTTGATGTAATTTTCTATCAAATAAAACAGTAGACAATGAACATATACACTCTCATATTCACTTAATCTACAGTGAAAACGATAGTCTTGTGGCAAATTAAAATATTTCGCACTATTTTCTCGTCTGATTCAGACGGATTGAGAACTATCTATGGATCCGTGTTGTACATTTGATGCAATATTTCTTAAATGCATATATGACATTCATCTACCAATACTAAATCATATTAAAAATTGAATAATTGAAAATGTTGCAACAAATGATTTGCACATATCATTGTGCTCTTTTTATGATGTTAATTGTATCAGTCATTGTAACGTTTGAATTTGTTTCGTAACTATGAACAAGAAGACTCATGTCAAAGGTTATTTGTCGACTTTAAAAATTGGTCGATTCAATTATATAAAAACCGATTGTTTGTTTAAAGAATTGTACGGAGAACGTGGATGAACTAATAGATGAAGCATTTTAGCAAACATATTTTTTATGCTGGTGTTCTACAAAGGACCCTGCCGGTTTTCGAACTGGTTGTAACGGTTTCCATTTCGGTTCAATTTGACAAAATGCTTGTTGTTTCGCTTTGGCTGCTAGTGGAAATGGAAAGTAGGGCGCTTCTACAAGAAAAGAATAGAAGAACTATAAATGATAGTTCGAGATTAATAAAGAGTTTTAAGACTAATATTTTCTTTTAAGTTGTACGAATATGTATGCCATCAAAAGGACTCATTCTTACCGACAACACACTCGTCTAAATTGATTATTTTTTCCCACAATGATATATTTCCACGTCGAGTGCCCAATGCTTTATGTACACCATGATTGGCCATACGTTTCATAATATTGATACGAAATTTACTTTCATATAACATTGCCATACGAATCGGTTGAAACTTTAAAACATTTTCAATAGGTTTCAATAAAACACTATTAGAACTTGTCAATAAGCTACTGAATGAACAACGTTGCAGTAGATGAGACATTGTAACTAAGTTCTTATTAGGAATAAGAATAAATTTTAAACTTTTACTAATATTCATCTGAAATAAGAAAGAATGTTGAATATAAAAATTTGTTTCTTATAAAGAGTCGATCTGCACTTTCAACACAAGACTGTCAATGAAATATACTGTGATTGTTTTATTTTTATAAAAACAAAAAAAAATGTAGACATCATTCTTTAAATGGACTATTTATTCACAAAAATTAAAGCTAAAATTGATCGTGCAGTTGTTTCATTTAAAATAATTTTGTTGATCTTTTACTTTTAATAAGAAATAAATACGATTTGATCGTTCTCAAACCGAAAACATTAGTTTATAAAGAGTATAAGCATGTTCTATAACGAAAACGCCCTCGTGTATTACAAGAAAATATAGATAATTAGTAAAAGATATGTTTTCTATCATTTTTATTAGAAAAACAAATACTAGCACAAAACAAGAGAACAAATTTAGTACACCCATGTCGGTCCCGGCGTACGAGTCTCCTCAATATTATTTATTTTCATTAATTCTTGTTCAACAGTCATTAAGTTTGGTTTAAATGTTACTTCTTTAATATCAGCATCAATCGTGTCTTGAGGACCAGCTAGATGAAAATAAACAACGATGTAAAAGAAGTAGAAAAACAAAAAACCACATAACATACGTAAATAACTTTTTTTTGTCGCATAATCCGATGTTTCTTCAGCTTGTGGTGCTTTTGGTATAATACGTCCACTTCGAGTAGAAACACGAACTAATTCACCTTCGCTTGTATAACGCCATTCAATTGTACAAGGTTTTCTAAAATAGATGTGTACAATAAATAGAACTAAACTTGACAAAATATATGATGTATCATTTAAACAAGTAAATTTGATTATTACCCATCAAATGGGTCAATCAATTTGACTTGGTATGGTGCAATCAATGGTTTTTCCTTCACTACGATTGTTGTTGTACCGGGACGATTCCCACCGATACGCGTAAGTTCCTGAAATAGATATAAATAAAACATTTGCTATAAACACATAAGTAAAAAGAAAATCATACCGTATTCAATCCAAATACGAATATATAATTTAATTCACGAATATATGCACAAACATTGCCTTGTTTACCCTTATGTTTTCCCGCTAATACTTCTACCTAGAATAATTATCATAAAATAATTTTCTATCATATAAACTTAGCTAATTTCTTATTGTACTTACAAAATCACCTCGAAAATAATCCCATGTTTTTAATGGTTCAACTAATTGAGGTAATTTTGCATTATTTTTTGGATGATTTTCTCGAACTGCTATATCAGTCCACGGTGGATCAATTTGATATCGATATGGATCATTATATTTTACAGTTTTTTTTGGTATAACACCATAGTTACCTTCTGAAAATATTGAAAAAGAAAGAGAAAATCAAGTATATTTATATTGAAGCATAGTCAACTGACCAATATATGTTCCGATAAATTTTGCTCTATCGATAAATCGTTTTGGAATATTATAATAGTCGCTCCAATGAAGTACAGAAGTTAAACGGACCATTACGAAAATATCTACATATAAAATATCTAAAATTTGACTAAGATCATTGAACAAATATAATCGAAAGAGATCTTATCATAAGCAAGACGCAAAACATTATATAGGTTGTTTGAATCATAATTTATTTTAGAGATATAAGTTACATGTCCAATAGTCGATGACAATCAAAATTTAAAAATCTTTCATCGCTACCAGCTTCGAATCTATATATTTTAATAGATGAACTTTTTTTTATCACCACTGATCAAGCTTGAACTTTTTCACGCTAGTTTTAAGTCAGCTAATTATCAAGTTTAATCTCTTCTGAAACTGATGTACCAAAAAAAAAATTGATGGTGTTTGAATTGATTTTCTTGGGAGTCTTTGAAATTAAGATCTTGGAAAAATATGTGACTTTTCACTTTTAATATAGTGAGTTTGATTATAAGTTTATTTAAGTAAGTGAGTTTCTAGTCTAGAAACTCATTAGAGACCTGCACGGGTTAAGAAAACGTAACCCGAACCCGACCCGATAAATTTTTACTCTTTTGTTTTGTTCTTAAGCTTATGTCTTTTTGTTTACCTATTTGTTTGGCGAAAGGCATCGCATTACAGACGAGTGACCTTTTGCTAATAGTCTGCTAATATTCCAGAAAATTTAGGCGATATATCTTTCTAAATTCGCAATATCATCTCTAATGAAAGAGAAATGTTACCTTTGAAAATTGTGCGGTTTGGAAAAACATTATTTTTCTTCAAGAAGAAAAGTTCAATAACAAGCGAATTTAGGAAGATGTAACGCTCAAATTTTCTGTAATATTAGCAGACTGTTAGCGAAAGTACAAAAGAAAAATTCATTTCTTAATTCTCAATAAACTCAATAAATACGGAGTTGGGCATCTGAAGATCATGCCTTGTTAGTGAATGCAGTTGTCTGAAATAAGTATTTCAACTGAAAATTCCAGTAGAGTTAACTTTTCAACGAGTAATACAAAATTGAAATTATTATCTATATTTAATGTAAAATGTTCAAGGCGAACCCAACCTAGAGTCGGGTCGGGTTGCAGGTCTCTATTTCTAGTCTGTTAATGATATGACATTTAATCTATATTTAAATACTGTTCTTACATCAAACTTTAGCAGGAAAAGAGGAGAGAATAATTTTATAATTAGTAAAGGACACAGGCGGCGCAGCGCTGAAAATAGATGAGGCTATAACTATATTCTTCTCATCCGATCGAATATTTATCGAAACGTCAAATAGAATAAAATCCTTATCTTATTTTGGACACGAATAAAAAAATAGGTAAATCAATGAAAAATCGAAATGATCTAAAAAGCACCAAAGAACTGTTTCCTCTGTTCGTTTTTTAATACAAAACTGGAATAAATATTGTTCTAGTCAAGAGCATCCATTTTCTCCTTGTCAATAGATCAAACTACATGTTTTAATGAAGTGTTAAATCCAAAAATAGGTAAGGTTCCCTCTCTCGTGTAGAAAATGCAGTGAAGCTTGAGTCTCACAAGTGCACTGTCTATGATCAAGGACACAAAAAATGCATGGATATAAAATGAGTTATAAACAATATTCGGATACTCTAACTATATGACTTCAAAGTTGTGAGTACTTTAATATCCATTTATGCAGACAAAGGGATTAACTTGTAAAGAAAGTGTAATTGTTAATCAGATAACAGTTAGTTGAGAATCTCTGAATATTTCAGAAAAGATATAGTTTGATGTAAAGAATATTATTTCATTACTAACTATTCGATTATTACTTGTTAAAGATTCGAGTTTTTTAGGATTCGAATGGTTTTTAGAAAACGCACCAGAAGACCATCTGAAAACCATTTAGATTGTCAACATGTTAAAGATATCAAAAACTTATATTACCGAGATTTTCTAATGAAATTGTATGTTACTTAGTGACGAAATGTGTTGCGTTTGCTATGGTAAATGATACTTTAATCTTTTTTTTAAGGGCTCCAAAGATTTTGTTAGGCAATTGTAACCTACATAAATACGATACTTTTATAAATAAATAATAGATTCACAACTAGGTACCACTGGAGTGATGAACACGAACATCTTCTCAAATCAATCTCTATCTGACCTCTTTATATAGACCGTGTTTACCATTGAACATCTCGTTATTATCCGAAATATTGTCACAGAAACTTGTGTCTGGATAAATCTATTCTTCTGATATTCGTAGAGATCTAGCATTTCAACTAAAAAGGTATTTAGAACTTGTTTATAAACCACATGACAAAAAAAGTTAAATTTTGTATAGAATGAAGTTCAAAAAAACCTTGAGTTTTATATTATTCTTTACTGACACACATTTTACTCCCCAAAATATAAATGATATGCTAAAACTAGAATCTTTTAAAGAACCAACTAACTTGAAGGAAAATAAAGTGAGCAAAATATGTGTAAATGTATAATAAAGATCATCATGTATTTTAAGAATCCTGACGTTGAATCTTTTTCTCCAGTACCAATGTTCTTTACTTTCATGTGTAAAAATGATCTCTTGTGTAGTTTTACATCGACGATTTCTTAAATACTATCTTACGCCCAAAGTTCACGCTCTTTGCTTCCACTACAATAAATACATCGCATTAGTATAACAATTCAATGAAAATATCCCTAAACTTAAATACAACATTCTTTTAACAGATGATTCAAATGAGAAATATAGAAATACATTAGATTCATTTTTATTTTTTATATATATCTTCAAAAATGTGTGATAGTCTGTGTGTATGTTGCTTCTTTTTTCTTGATAGTAGTATACTGCGAAATAAATGTATAAAAAAAAAAAAACGGGGAATTGAACAATAAAGCAAAACACCGACTATATAGAGAATTATACAAGCAAACAATACATGCAAGAAGAAAAGAGAAAGTTTCGTCGTCTAACAGCATGTAAATAAAATTTCAACATTATCATTGCGTCGTAGGATTTTTTTTCTTTTAAAAATTACACGTTCGTCCTTCTGACCACATAATTATGAGGACAAATTGAAAGACATTAACAAAAAAAAAACATCAGTATTTGCATATAGACGCACACAAAAGCTGTCTATACACATAGAAAAAAAACAACAACAAAGAAAAAACAACTAGAAATGAGTAAAGAAAAAAGAGATGCTCATTTTCGATATAAGAATTTTGTTTTTCTACATCGAAAATAATTTTGTTTATGTTGTTGATTAAAATCATTTGTTGGTGATGTTCCATTTGTTAGAGTCGATGATGAACTTGATGAAGATGTTGATGAGGTGCGAGAATGTTTTTGAACATTTTCTAATTCTTTAGATATATCTGGTTTTATTTTCTGTGAATTAATAAAATCAGATGTTGTTAAATTAAAAATACTATGTTGCATTATATGTACAGTATCATTCAAAATATATGAAGGTTGAGAGGATAATGGTGTTTTTTGATGAGTAAAAGTGGGTAAATTTAAATGATTATTATTATTAGTATTGCTTATTAACTTTCTATATGGTAGTGTTTCATTAGAAATTGTTTTTATTGAACGCAATTCGATTGATGGCTTTTGTTGATACTAAAAAAAAACGAAAAAAGAACAAAATTAATAGTGACAAATATACTCATTTCTAATTTAGAAAAATCTCAAATCTCAAGTTATCTACAGTTCTTTTTGTTCTTGCATTATCAACTTACATATCAGTCCATCAAGTCACTCATAATGTATCAACTCTGTATCAATCACACACCGTTAAAGAAAAGCAGCTCAAGACAAACAATCACACGGATAGCAGCACATGTGCACGAAAACATTGATTAATAACATTATTATATACCTTTTTGGTATGATGTTGTAAAACACGCCACCATATGAAACACGTGTATAATATATATATTTTATAGAAATAAATTAAATCGCGTGTTTTATGAAAAAAAATAAGCAAGCTTTTTTCTCTTATAGACGGGCACTTTGACTTCGTACCGTCGACAACATGGTGGTAGTTGTCGTTGTTGTTGCTGTTGTTTTATTATTTATTGATCGATGATAACAAGAAGTTCGCTGTGGTTCAGATAATGTTTTACAAAGTTGATGATGTCGAGGATGGGAAGATGGATATTCAGAAGTTGGAGAAGTTTGAGTTATCGTATCATCAGTATCGCAAGATTTTTGTTGTTCTTTTAATGGCTGATAACGAGCTAATGGAGATACAGATATCTGAAAAAAGAAAAAATATGTGAATACATTATATACATTTTTTATACGGATTTTTGTCTACATACTTGTTGCAAATTTCTAGTTTGTTTTGTTGTTATATTTTGTCGAATAGCTGGTAATAAACAATTTATTAGTGATACATCGTTATTCTCATTATCATTTGACAGTGATGATGATAAATACTGTTCAGGATTGGATTTTTTTGATTTTTGACTAGTACAAGATGCACCTATTGATTGTAATGGTGGCCATTCATTTGAATCTAAAATCGATGAATGATGATGGTGTTTATTTAATGGCGAAGATAATGATGATAGAGATCGTCCTTCATTCGCACACGCGTCGTTTGTTGTGGTTGCTGACGATGAAGCAAATAATAGCAATGGTAAAGAGGATGAAAGTGGAGTAACTGTTGTTGTACTCGATGATGTTGTAGGAACAATTGATGATGGTACAATCACCTGATGTTGTTGATTGATCGCTGCTTCTATATCTCTCGCAACTTTTCGTTCGCTTAACCGACGAAATAAGGAATTGTTTTGTGCATATTTTTTACCATTACCGGCTCCACTAATACGCATGGATGACGATTTTGCTATATCATGGTGGTGTTGATGATGTGTTTGTGTTTTTTTATTTTTTTGATCATGCAAATGCATCTGATTGTGAGAATGTTCATTATATCTCATTTTTTGTTTTGACGGTGATCGTCTTCGACCGCCACTTCTTATTTTTGTTTCAGAAGATGGTATCGCTCGGATAGATAGTTTTGGCGAACCATTTAAAATTAATTTAACAACATCGGGATGTAACAGACCGGCTACAGGACGTTCATTCACATGTGTAATAACATCGTCAGGACGCAGACCAGCTTCTTGTGCTGGTCCTTCAACAGCTACAACAACATGCTGAGTAGTGTAATAGTCCGTATTACCATGAAACACTTTCACAGCTCGCAATGTAAAACCAAAACTTCTTGGTCCCCGACGAATTATAATTGGAGGACGTAGATTTTGTGTAATGGATTGTAAAGGAGATGGAGTTGTTGCTGTTAAATGGTGTTGATTATGTTTCATGAATAGAACATCTTTTAAAGGAGTTGATAGAACATCACGTTCTAATGGTGAGACAGTATTATGACGTTGTTGAATCGTTGAACCTTTTAGACCATGATCCTAAAACAAAAATAATTTTTAAAATTGCTCAAAAAAGGAAAAATGTATAAATTATATAATCATTGTTATATCGTGGCATAGTTGATTTCTCGGATTTTTTCTCATAAATGCAAGTATCTTACCTGATGTGCTGCCCAAGAATGAACATGTTGTGATGAAGGTGATGATGAATTGGATGAGGAGGATGACGAAAATGATTTTGATAATGACCGAGGAAATTTTCTGGTATTATTTTGTTGATTATATTTATTTGAAGTTGCTTGAGTTTGTTGTACTGATGTTGTTAATTGATTTTGTTGTTTAGGAACTAATGCATGAGATGAAGCGGATTTTTTAAATTTTTGTTGTTCATTTGACTTTGTTTCAGATTTAATTGTAACAGCAGTTGGCTGTTCTTGAGTTGCTCCACTTTCAATTGAAATATGTACTTGTGGTAATGATAATAGCTGACGATTAGTAATGGTAGCAGTAGTTAATTCTGATAATTTGGACGTATAAGATGGAGATGGTGAAACGGTAATTTTTGTATTACTAGAAAAGAGATAGAACAATAGTAACATACATACCAAAATATAATGCATTTCATTTACCTTGTGGTTGAATTCGTTGTATTTCCTTCACCTGACGTTGTAACATCGAATGATGTTAGATTTGCTGATGGACTAGTAATTGATACATTAACAGATCGAGTAGGTAGGATTAAAGATGGTTTGGCTTGTAATGGAGATAGTCGTCGTTGTGGTTTTCTATAATGGCGATGTTTTTTTGGTTTTGTTTGGTCGTCTCCACTATCATCATAATCACAAGTTAAATGATGTTGAGTTTTAGAAGATTTGTCATCATGTTCAGATAGTCTGATAGAAATTTTTCGTTGTCTTTTGACATCTTTTGTTGTCGAGTCTTTTACTATTGCTTTGGATTTTTTTTTACTAGGTACAGTAGAAGTAGTGTTTGACGAAGTTGTCAATGAGGAACGATTCGGTGAAGATGATAGTGAAGAAGATGCAGAAGATTGTGAATGTAATGAGTCTTTACGAGAAGAATTAACATTATTATTTAATTCACATAATAGTTTATCTAATACAGGTTGGTCTTGTTCTCTATCTCCATCTGTTGTCATTCCAATCGACGGTTCAAACGTATCGGAGCCAAATTGTTTTGGCATAAAAGATGATTCTAAGTCTAAAATAGTAAAAGAATTGTGACCATCTTTAATAATGTCCTAGCAATATCTATCTCTTATAAATCAGTTATCTCATTAGATTGATGAAAGTTACCTGTCTTATTACCATTATCTCTGATTATCGTTGCTTGTTTAGGCAGCAATTGTACGGAACTAAGTGTTCGATGTTGCTGTTGAGATGAAGCTGATATCGACCGTTGTACAGGTAAAAATTCTCCAACTGCATTTAATTGTTGATGTTGACATATAATTTGTTGTGTATCACTCTCACCATTAAGACATTCTGAGCATGAATTTTTTCTTGAAACATCTGTCGATGATATATCTGACGTTGTTGAATAATCTTGTTTAACTGAATGATGTTTCTGATGTAATGAATTATGATTTTGTTGAGGTGTTACGTTATTTAAATTTTGACTAGCTGATAATTCGGACATATACCTTAGTGAACATGATGAAAATGAGGCAAATAAACTTTCGGAATCTGTTGTTTCTCCACCACTCAAAAGATTTCCTCCTACGCCCAAATGTTTACTTGTTTGTGCTTCATTATCCATAGTTTCTGCTATTTTAGTTTTTGTCGATTGAATAACATCCGAATCGTCATCATCATTATCCGAATTTGATAAATTATGTTCATATCGATCTTCTCTTGTGTCAAAATATGATGTATCATCTGGACTCTCTAATACGGGAACAAAATCGGCTTTTTCTCTCAACAACGTATCCCAATTAATACATGAAAAAAATATATGAGATTTTACGTCAAACGAACCCAATGTACCTAAAAAAATAAATTGACTTTTATCATTTAACTTTACGAAAAAAATATGAACTTACCTAAACGTTGTGATGGATCATGTTCTAGTAAACATTCAATTAAATTTTTAGCATCACTACATAACATCTCAGATGTATTAGCTGTTGACGATGAATCACTATTTTCCTCTAAGACTTCTGGCCATTCTATTTGACCATTAATCACATTGGCAAATAAATCATCAGGCGTATTGCCAGTAAACGGAGGAACACCAATTAAAAATTCATACAATATTATACCTAAGACAAAAAACAGTATGTTAAATTGTTTCTAGAATAAGTTTTTAACTTAACAAGAAAGTTTTTATTAGATACGTTAGCATACAAAAAATGAATTTAATGAAAATTATCTTTTCTTAACAAATTTCTTCTATAATTTTTTATCTTTTTTAATTATTCAAGTTACTATCATCTAATAGTTCATATTCGAAACGAATTATCTTTTATTAAAAACATTATATTTTTACTTACCCATACTCCACCAATCGACTGGCTTTCCATAACCTTGTCTTAAAATAACTTCTGGAGCAATGTATGAAGGTGTACCACATATTTGTTTATCATTAAATGCTTTTGTTTCTTTGTCAATATGTTTTTCATAAAAATTTGTAGTTAAGCTCATCAAACCAATTTTAGATAAACCAAAATCGGTTAATTTTATATGACCAATAGCTAAACACAAAAAAAAAAACGATGAATAACGATTATGAATGTTATGGATATTACTATACAAAATGAAAAGGAAACAAAAGAAGTATTGAATGCAACGAAATAGACCTGTAATTAATAAATTATCCGGTTTTAAATCTCGATGTATGATTCCGTAAGAGTGTAAATATTCAACAGCCAATGTTGTTTCAGCAAAATACATTCTTGCTATATCAATATTTAATGGTCCACCAATATTTTTTAGCAAAGTTGCTACATCACCACCTTCAACAAATTCCATAACCATACATAAATGTTTTTTCGTTTCAAATGTACATATAAGTGCAACAACGAACGGATTATCAGTAAATGTCATTATATCTCTTTCTACAAATGCTTGTTCAACTTGATTTCTCAAAATTAAATTTGTTTTGGATATTTTTTTCATTGCATAACGTTCATGTGTTTGTTTATGTTTAATTAAATGTACAGCACCATAGGCTCCATTGGAAATTAATTTTATGACTTCAAAATCATCTTCACATGGAACTTTTAATTGTAGTTGTTGTTGTTGTTGTTGTTGTGGCAGTGGTTTACTAGAAAATGTATGTTCAATTGATCCTCGACTAATAGATGTAGGAGTACTGAATAATGCAGTAGAAAATGTATTATTTGAGGCAGTAATTGTCATATAATTTAAATCAGTTGAAGAGGATGATGAATTATTGTTCGTTTCTGTTGAATTTGTAGCAGATTCTTCAATTGTTGATCGTAAATAAGGTGTAAAGAAAGCTAAAGCATTATGAAATAGTAACTTAGTTTAAATAACAACTAAAGAATGCTTACATTTTCCTGTTTCATAATTATTACTTTTTCCATTCTCACTTTGCATCATCTGACCATCAGTCATTATATGTTCCTTTTGTCCCTGTTGTAACAAATCAATCTCAAGCGGATTTCGATCTAAATTTAATTTTGAACAGATATATTTTGGAATATCTTGTTTAATTATCAATTTTGCTTGTGATTCAACTTCATCAAGTGCTAAAAGAAAATCTTCTGGATCAAATTCAAGACATTCTAATAGACGAGCCGATCTTGCTATTGTAAATAGTAAACTTTTAACAACTTTTTGTAAGTTTAATATTAAACTTGGACATTTATCTTTAGCATTCAATAATAGACGTTCTAAATTTTCTGTTATTTCATTAAAATAATTGGTATTCACCGCATCATTTGTTGATTTTTCTAAACAATCTTTTGCTAATTCAATAATTTGATTATGAATGAAACGTGCTGATCCATCTGAACAATAATCGTATTTATCAACACATTTGTACGAATCAATAAATGATTGTAAACGTTCTTCCATTTGTACTTTAGCCTAAATAACATTTATTTTTAAATAAGTCACTTTAATGATACTAAAAAATCATACACTTACTTTAGGATATCTTTCTTTATAGACTAGACTCATTGATTTCATATCCGACTCCATTGGATTAGTTTTCAATGGGCTTGACATGTGTGGATCTAACATTGACATTGACAGAGATCGTGATTCTAAACGTTGACTAAATGGATAATCATCGTTTTCAAGTAATAACCCCATGCCACTATTTCCACTAATACAACTATCATTTGAACTAAATACACGTTGTAATCTTTGTTGTTGATCTGGACCACAGTTCTGATCTTTTAAAATTGATGATGAAGAAATGGAAGTTGGAATTTGAAAAGAATGATCTTTTCCGACGTTACTACCAGTAGAACAACACGAACAATACGGTTGTTGTTGTAAACGTTCATAAGATGAATACTGAGATGATTGATTTGAATGACAGGTGATGGGAGTTGTTGTACCGTAACCGGATGAAGAAGGAGCCGATGTTAATGACCAACGACGATTTGTTTCTTCAATTGTTGGAATTGCCATAGTCATTGTTGTTGATGTTGTTGAAGTTGTTACAGGTTTGAATGCACTCGATGTAGATGAATTAAATGTTGCAGAAGTATTTCGAAGAGCTAAATAGGAAGAAGAGTAAGTTGATTGTAGATGAAAGTTTTAATCTTTAAATACTGACCTGCTTTTGTTGTTTGTGGTTCCGATTGTGTTTGACACAAATGCTGAGGTGACAGTGTTGATTGTTGAGGTGATAATTGTTTCCTTAGTGCATACTTTAAATTAATCAAATTGAGACTTGATAAATTCGATCGTTTTGTACTTGGCCTTCTTAATGGAAATGGAAAATGAGTTGAATATTGTTGTTGAGATGGTGGTGTTGGCGATAGTGTAGAATTATTCTTTATAGTATTTGTAATTGTCGCCGTTCCAAATAAATAATTCATTTGTGTTGATGTTAAAGTTGGTTCCGATTGGCCTAATCTTAAACGTTTTATTCGAACAAGATTTGTGGAACAATTTGAAATTGGTATATAGGATGACAATAAAACATCATTTCCAGCTACGGATATCATTGGAGATGGTATTGGTGATCCACCACTTTGTAATTGTAAATTTGATGTTATCCAACTACGCCTTCTTAATCGTTCATTTAATTTTTGTTTTGAATCACGATAACGCGTTACTGATTGACCACCGGTTGACGAACGTTTTCGTACAATATTTGAAGATGTATTAGTTAGTGACTGATCTATTCCTGGACAAGCATTTTCAATACTCAAAAAACTTTCATCCGTTTTTAATTGTGAATGATCTGTCTGTGATGATGAAAGTTCGGGCGTGGTATGTAATTTTGAAAGTTCTTTATCGGCATCTAAACAGTAAAAAGTGTTTAATTTTCTCACTAATAAATGAAAAAGGAAGAAAAATTACAACTTGCAGGGTAATGAGATATAATTTAAATGCAACCGATACGATGTGGTCTTTTTCTCGATGATATAAACAGACATAATCTATTAAAGGTAACAAAATAGTGACTCTGATAGTAAACTTGTTCTTACGTCTTCAAGTTCATTTCGCGTTCTCGATTTAAAAAATACCAAAGAACTAAAACGAAGAATGTTTAGGTGGTTTCTTTAATTGGTGAGATTATTCTCATTCCAAAAAGTTCAAAATAAAACATGTAAGAATACAACATGTAAATGGGCAATTTTGAGAGACATTCATTACAAAGGAAGAAAATATTCGCTCAATCTATTCTGTATACACGACTCGATAGTTATAAAATGAAACAATAACAAAAGATTTTCCGTATTTAGCAAAAACAAAACTTTGTATTACGACGCCACTGATGAGGTAATAATGAGGAGATTAACCATTTTACGTACCTGAAATAACTGGAACATTTAAAAATAAAGTCTGTGTTGGTGGCGATTTATCTTCTTCAGTAATTGATTCAGGTATGAGTAATGAAGCTGAAGAAGTTCTCGTCGGAGAAGGCAATGATGTTGTTGTTTGTGATTGTTGAAATTGAATAGAAGAATTCACTAATACTACCTCATCTTGTTCTTCTCCTTGTTTTTTCAATGATGATATTGAATCATTCGATGTTGACTTTAATTTTAATGGTTTTGTGATGTTTTCTGTTGTCGAAGAGAAAATAGCTAAAGGATGATTTGGAGCTGAGTGAGGTTTACGACGTTTTTGTGTTTGTGACCTGTAGGATGAACTAGTTATATCATCCGTATTTTTTGTCTCATCGTCATTTTTCGTTGGTGATAATGTACGATGTGAAACTGAAGTAAAACCTAGAGATGCAAAAGCCGATGCTGATAATGGCTGTTGTTGTTGTTGCTGATGTTGTTTTCTATTTTTTTGACTGAAAAATTTTCTCATAATTTAATTTAAAAATGATATTGAGAACAAAAAATAAAAATATGATATGATGATGATGATGATGATTTTTTATTATATAGTCATTAAGCGATGCAACGTTCTTTTTTTATAATTATGTACAGGTGTGCATGTATGCGTGATAGGGTTATAACTGACTAGATTTTACGAAAAACGCGGTGATGCTAATAATACTAGTGAATTGTGTGTTTTCGTTCGTTGTATTTTTTGGCGATAAATCATCCTATACTAGCCAAAACTAAATGACTAGCTACATTGGTGACCATTCTAAAAGAAAAAAATAAAAGAAAATAATTGTCATGACAAAAAGGAAAAAGAGAAGAGAGAAAAAGAGAGAGAGAGAGAGTGTGAGGTGGGGGTGATACTGTTTCTTTTTGTTTAAAAACAAAAGATAAAAACATATCATTGTTAAACATATGATAAAAGGTAACGAAAGAACAAAAGAATAATGATTCTAACAAGATTTCAAACTAGTTATTCTTAACTCTCTTTATGAAACCGCCCCAATCGTTCTATAAGATTTGTTTTCGTCACTAGTTTAGGTAAAATAGTTTAGGTCTACTGTAAATAACCTTAACGCACAAACGAAGCATAAATATTCAAATGCAAAAGGAATAAAGTGTAATATTTGTCTAACTCTAAGGCATACATTCCTATTAATAATAGCTTTGTTAAACCTACTTCTAAAAAATCAATAATGAAGCATCATCACTTTTCATATATTTTCATTTCTCATCGTACATCTTGCTAGGAAAGATTAACAATTACTGACTGTTCTGATAATTCAGTTTATATTCTCATTAGTCATTTTAAAAACTATTTGTATTATAGATCCGATCATTAATAGTTTTAAACGTGATATATGTCTATCTTTAATTATTTTTCTAAATAAAAATTTGAGAAATACGTATAAAATATACTTTTTAATAGAAGAAGAGAAAAAAAAATCATCAAGTTTCTATCTTATCAAATAAATCATATGGAATTTGTGTTTTGTTTCTTTATCATCACAATAGAGAAATAATTCTTGCAAAAAAAAACTAAACATGTGCGTATAAACTTACAAGTTGCGAATTGTTTTGAATCATCGTATACATCTACATTAGTAAACTTTTCTACAATGATGGTGATGATGATGATGATGATGATGATGATGATGTTTATTTTATGTGAATATGGTAGCAGAGTAAAAGAGAAAAGCAAATATTTCTTTTAAATCAGCTGTTCTATTCGTGACAGAAAATGATTTCACCAAAGTGACTAAACACAATGAAAAAGAAGAAAGAATGAGAAAAAAAGAAAAGAACCATATGGAACAAATTTTCTATATGTCTCACGTCGACACATAAATTAATATATACGTATAAAAAGAAGAATGATAGACAATTGAGACCCAACTGTTATATCAATCCAGTGCTATATACTCCACTTCGTTGTAAACAGATTGTTTGTATTATCGTCACCATTTTCATTAGATTTATTGAGTTTTTGATGAGAAAAAAAAAAAAAGAAAAAAAAAAGATTAACTTACGTTAAAAAAGAATCTTTAGAGAATAGACCTCAGATTGATATTACGTAATTTCAGTGACATCATTATTATTTGATGAAATGAAGTTAAAAGAGAAGAAAAGATGAAATGTTGAATGCGTGTAATCAAGTTATTTGAATACTCGTAACAGGATTTTCAGGGGAAAAAAAAGAGAGTTTAACTTCTAATTTTTGGGATTTATTTACAATTAAATTATTTTTCTTTTTATTCAGTTTCGAATTTCAACAATATTTTCTTTTAATTTTTCTAACTTTATCTCATTCATAGATATTTTTGCACACTCTATCATTAGTTACACAACTAATGTAGAAAAATAGAGTGAATCGTTTGAAGTGCATGAAATCTGCCGATAGAGAGAGATATAGAAGAAATTTATAATTGATAGTCGGAAAACATCAGTCTTCTCCTTTTCAATGATCTCTCTTTATGTGTTACAGACAAACTTATTGTGGATAAAAATGCATGAAATAAAACAAACTGACTGTGACATCAACAAAACATTTTTTATTTGTTTTTTCTTCGTCCGTTTTACTCTTATTAAATAAAAAAACAAAAAAAAAAAAATGAAATTTTTATTTTCAAGTGAAAATTTTTTGGATTACTATACGCATATAAAGAGAAAACTAAAACATACAGTGTACATTTTTTACTCATACTATGTCAATTCATTTTCATTTCTTCTTATTTTACAAATATAACTACTACTAAATAATTCTCTACTATACCTTATTTTTTAACAGTCATAGAAAAAAAATCATCTGAATAATGTTTAAATAAAGTTTTCAATAAATATTGTTTAGTATTATTCATTATCTTAAATTTAAGTCACAACAAAAGATAGAAAAAAACTTTAATTAGATGAATATAAACAATGTTAAACTAAAGACTAAACAACATTTCATTTTAGAATATTAAGATAATTCACATTTTCCACAATTCTAAACAAATCTTTAGTCATAGAAATATATCGAGCTCATTTGTATGAAATAAACACTATCAAACTTGTTTTTATTGTTTTTACCGTGTGTATATGTATGTGTGTGTGTGTATATTCTCGTGTTGAGTTCCAGTGTAAGTACCAGATTTTGTTGTTTTTTTTTCTTCTCTAGAAAATAATTGAAGAAAACCATTTTTTTTTGTCCTACCACATGCGTGCGCGCACACGCTGGTAATAGATAAGAGCATGAAAAGTAAAAAAGAAAAAGGAACGAAGAAAATTTTAGGAGAACACATTGACTTTAGATCGTTTTCATCACTCATATGTGTAGCAGTATATGAATTTCTTTTCTCCATACAATCAAGTAGAAAAAACAAAACAAAAAAAAAATTATATGAGCTCTAAATGATGCCTGAGTAGAATACTATCTATCATGTTTTACTTTTTTAATGACAAAATTGAAATAAAAAAGAGCCGAACAATTACCTACAGATGGTGCCTATTGAGGGCATCATTTTATTTTCATCTGTTTTAAAACCTTTAAAAATTTTGTTGTGAAAAATTTAAAAAGAAAAAGAAAATCAAGGTTCTACACGTGCCTTTAAAATGCATCGATACTTGCATGAGTTTTGAAAAGAAGAAAAAAAGTCACTGTTCTCCATTCAAACAAAATGAAAAGTTCGAGTAATAAAAAACAAAAAAAAGAAAAGAAAAAGAGTGAAATCTTCTTTAAAAAAAAAGAAAGAACGCAAGGCATGTTTTGAGTGACAGTGATTAATAACATATGTTCTTAAATCAATGTTTTGACTATTCGTTAAAAGAAACTAACTATTTCAAAGAAATAGAATAGACAAATATTTTGTTTTAGTACACTCTATCCAGGTATCTAATAGGTGTATCATAAATCATGTCAGTCTCGATATTTTTGCTTTAACTCCTGTCCCTCAGGATCCCCAGAGATTTATTTTTTTAAATAAAATCGCCGTAAAATTTTCTACAAAATCATACTTAAACTTTAATTTCAGAATTTCAATCAAAAAAAATTAAGAAAATCAGACGAACGGTGAAACTAAATGAAAACTTTGTAAATTTGGTATTTTTTCTCAAATTTGTCTTCGGGTATTATTTCCGTAAAAAATGAGAACTTAGTTTATATTTGGTTCTTTCAAATATGCTCTTTCTCGTTGTCTGTAAAAATTTTTTTTTAGAGTAGATGGTGTGATCGAGAACGAAGTATCAAAAATTGACAACCTCTCGTTTTCAACAATGTGCCCAAGCAAGAAATGGAAAACATGATCAGCATTTTAATTTTGTAGTTAGTTAGAGAAAAGCAATTATTTCTAATTAAAACAAAATAAACCCGATAGAAAAATCTTTTGTTTTGATGGAGTTATGCCACTGTTACTGAGAACACCATCATACAGAGAATTTAAAAAATTAATGAAAAAATGCGTGACAACCAACAGAAAAATTATTATATCACTAATAAGTTTGAAGTGTAGCTAAAAGATAGAATGAAGTCAAGACTACAAAATGGCTAATTCAGTTTTTCTTATTTTAAAAAGCGTTAACACAAGAAATGGTTCTTAAGTTTACAAAGTTTTCATGTTTTTTGTTTTTTATCTAATTTACTTAGTTGTCTTAATTGAAGTTCTGAACTAAAAGTTTAGATATGATTTTGTAGAGAATTTTACGGCGGTTCTATTAAAAGAAAAATAATCTCTATAAACTCTGAGAAACCGAAGTTAAAGCAAAAATACCGAAACCGACATTATTTATAATACAGAGAGTAATCGTTGTAGTCTAAGTACTTTTCAGTACATCAATTAATTTAATTTTAAATATCAACATAATTTACCTTTTTTTTTTGTTGTGATTGTGGTCAAGAAAAATTAAAATTTAAGATTAATTCAGATGGACTCTTTTAAATTTTGTGATTGATTAGTTTATTAATTAAAGGAAGTTATTATGAATACCGACCGATAATCCAGATGTACCTTTATTTATTTTTATTTCTCTCATTTTCTCTTTTTTTTTCTTTACTCTATCTACCTTTTTCGTTTTTTTTTGCTACATTTATATTTCTCTATTTCTCTCAACGTCATTTTGTTATTGTTGAGTAGATTATCTCATAGAGAAAAATGGTGACCTTTCTTTTTGCTTCTCAATCTTTTAATATCTCGTTAATCAATTTCACTCCTAGTTGTAAAAAAAAAAAAAAAAAATTTTCAAAGAGTGATTTACTCAATATTTGTATGATAGAATAAAATGAAATAAATAAATAATCATCGTAATCAGTTAGGGACTAAACGTTCGAATATTATCACTGCTTCGAAGTTCATTCTTTTTTATTCAAGATATGTCACCGATAAATATTAATGTAATATATTCAACACAGGACTATGCCTATATACTTTCTTTATTTCGTTCTATCTTTTTTTTCTTTTTACACACTTATCGATTTTGATCTATTCAAAAAAAAAGGTGTTTTATTTA